AAATAAATTAAAAATTAAAAATAATACATACTAAAGAGATAGGTAGAAAAAAAAGAAAAAAAAGTTTCTCCGCTGGGACTCGAACCCGGAATCCCGATGTAAGAGACGGATGTTCTAGCTATTAGGCCACTGCGCTGTTAAGCGAATATACCATGGATTCACACGTACATAATGTTAATCTGTACGCACCGCCATCTATTAATGAATAGAATTTTTATCACTTTTTTACTTTTTTACTTTTTTACATTTTTGTTTCAGCCAGAACCACCTCCCAGACGTGCTGATTCTGAAAATATCTTTAGGCTGCGGAGTTCTCTGGTTATGCGAGTACGGACTAATTCGGCTGAACAAATTTATATATATATAGATGTGTGGGGCGAATGTATTCATGCACAACGCATTTGTTTTGGCAATTAAAACTTGAATGTCACTTTACTGACGTACGTGGCAAGAACCTTTATATTTTCCATGTACAAAATAAAATCCAATAAACTACTGTTAGGTTACCATCCGTGGTCTCATCGGTATATACAGTTCATATAGAAAATTGTCTAGTGATATTCTGTATTGAAAGTCTATATACAGTAGGTTTACACTATAGGTATAGTTGTGGTAATTAATCTGTTTGCTTGGTTTTTATGATAAAACTCACTTCCGCCAACCAATAAAGTCAGTCACAACAGAAGTTGTGTAATTTACGACTTTTGACTAGCATGTGACCTAAGCATTTTGATCATTGTATGCGTATAGCGAGTTACAACTAATCCACATATGGCCGCTGGGTGTGACACATTGCAAAGCACACCACGCTAAAAAAATGTCAGCGTAAAAAACTCCATATTACCGTAATTACGGTACTCATGCCCACCTTTTCCATTTCGCCATTTTCATTGGCAAAATAATAGCATATCACCCCTATTTTATCTTATCTCTCAGAACCTCACCACGACGCTTCTTCTTCACTCATAAATAATAACATATCTCTCTTAACGTTCTCATCTCTAATTACTAGCGCACCATAGCGCTTCTTATTCTTCAATCATAAATAATAGGACGTCTCTCTATTTTGACATTAAAGCTCTCATCTCTTACTGCCTCACTATTGCGCCTCTTCTTCACTTCTTGTCCACCAGGCCCTAATGACTCTAGTCAGTGCTTGGCTATATGTATGTTGGGTATATCGTATCCCGCGTGCTCGCTTACATAGACGCTGCAAGGCCGCTCATCACAAGTGCGTAGGCCCCTCTATGTACGTACACTCACCCTTTATGTCATGGTGATGGCAGCATAAGATATGTGCCTATAATTATAGAGTTACATTTTGAACGAGCACAAGCGTGTCTGCGTGCGTGGGTGCGCGTACGTGTGCGCGTGTGAGCGTGCGTGCGTGCGCGTACGCGTGCGCGTGCGTGCGTGCGTGCGTGAGTATGCGTGCGTGCGTGCGTGCGTGAGCGCATGCGTTGCGATGTGAATGAGCGCACGCGTGCGCGTGTCCGTCCGCACGTGTGTGCGTACGTGCGTGTGCGTGCATGTGTGCATATACCAGGCCTATGTACGCACGGACGCGCTCGTGTATTTGGGACCGTGCGTGTATGTGTGTGCGTGCGTGCGTGTGTTTGTGTGCGTGCGTGTATATTTGCGTGTTTGTATGCGCGTGCGTGTGTGCGTGCGTGCGCATGTGCTCGTGAGAGTGTGCGTACGTGCGTGCGTGCGTGTGTGTGCGTGGGTATGTGCGTGCATGCGTGCATGCGTGTGCGTATGTGTTGGTGCGTGGGTGCGTGTACGTGTGCGCGTGTCTGCCCGTGCGTGTGTGCATACGTATGTGTGGTTGTGCGTCCGTATGCATGTATGCATACATACGCACGGACGCGCGCGCGTGCGCGTGTGTGCGTGCGTGCGTGTGTGCGTGCGTGTGCGCACGCGTGTGTGTGTGTGATTGTGTTTGCTTGTGTGGGCTTGTGCGCGCTTGTGTGTGTGCGCGCGTGTGCGTGTGTGCATGTGTTTGTATTTGCTTGTGTGTGCGTGTGTGATGGCTTACATCATGCAATATCAGGCGTTGTGATTCAGTTACGCCGTTGGGTTCTCATCGTGTAGAATCGGGTAACAGCACTTGAAGCTGACGCTTAGCCAGATGAGGACGCATGTAGAAGCGCAGCGACCGTGCCTGCGTAAACCTAAACCCGCTAACACTGCTGCTGCAACGTTGACTCTTCAGTAACTGACAAAGGAAGCAGAGGTGAGTTGTACGCATTATTACATTATAGTGAGTAGACTAAATCCCCGTTTGTTAAATTCTTCCACGAGTCGTTCGATTAATGTTAATAGTGAATGTTACATACAATGCCGAAAATCGAGTAGACTATTATACATAGCTATTATGCTTGACATAGCGGTATGATGCCAACAATACATTTCGTGTTTTCTAAAGACGCCAATTGGCGTTATTGGTTATGCCAGTAACGAGTATGTCATCATGCAGTAACCAGTCCATGTTCAGTAATCAGTAATCAGTGTGCCATCGTCTCGAATTGTTTTAGTTTAGTTAGCATATATAGTTATATAGTTATATAATATAAAGTTGCCTAGTTTTGTACGCAGGAATGATAAGAAAACAATCGTACTTTCGACTACATACGAATACTACTCTTATTTCCGCAGATCTATCTATAGCTAGCTAGCTATCCGTCTGTCTATCTATCTATCTATCTATCTATCTATCTACTATTATCTAATCTTATCATATCTATCATCTATCTCACTATCTACTCTATACTTGCTTATCTATCTATCCTTCTATCTAGTCTGATCTATCTATCTCAATCTATCCTATCTATCTATCATATCTATCTATTCTATCTATCTATCTATCTATTATCTATCTATCTATCTATGTATCTATCTATTTCATATCTATCTATATCAACTATCTATCTATCTATCTACTCTACTCCTACCTATTGTATATATCTATTTATCTTTATGCTATATTATTCTATATATATGGGTTATATGATATATAAAATTATGTGTGTGTGTTGAGGGGCGGGTATATATATATAAGATTAACTTAATTTGCACGTATTTTTAACAAAAAAGAAACGCGATATTTCCCCGCGTTTACCCCCGGCCCCCCGCCGCCGGCCGAGTTTCCTCGTGCTTTTGGTAAAGCCAATGAATGTGTTTGTTTTTTCCGACAAGACGATGACATATGAATGTCGTGTATGATATATGTTGGTATATGCGCGTGTACAATTTTATTGCTTCAGCACAGGTTCTTTTTTTGGTTGTTTCAATCTGTTGATTGCGCCAGTGCGGAATGTACGAAGAGCTTGTGGCGAATAGATGCCTGACTGTGTTACGAAGCTCGAAAGTGTGAGTGATTGTGCAATAAGAAGAATGCCCACTCGCAGTCGTAATGAAGTGACGTTGATTCTGCACGGATCCCTTCCGACGCATGGACGTTCTATGAAAAGAACTGTTGCGAACAGGGAGCGGAAAATATGTATATATATTATATACTATATATATTCATATATAGCTATACGCTGACGCACGTTTCGGCCTAGTGGCGTGAATGGTTTAGCCTCATGGGCCACGCACGCACGCACTGCACGCACAGCGACGGCACCACACCTTGCGCACCGCGACCGACAGCGAGGAACACATCACCACACACACATGATCACACCACACACACACAATCACACACACAACACACACATGGTGGCACACACATGCACACACACATCAGACAGTCACACAACACTACCACCACACAAGTGCACACACAGCACTACACAGCACACACACACTCACACACACACACACACACACACACACACCACACACACACACACACACACACACAACACACACACACGCAATGCACGCACGCGACGCACACACACACCACACACACACCGATCACACAACACACACACACACAACACACACACACACACACACACACACAATTATACATATATTGCCCATTTGATGTTATCCGTTATGATATTGAATGACTGCGTTTAACGCTAGATGCGTAAATAATCTCGATCGTGCGTGGGATTCATAAAACAGAATTATTAACAGATTTGCGATATAACGGTAAAGCGATCTGATGGTGACAGCTGAAATTCTCTGCTAACGGCACCGCGGCTTGCAATTAAAGCAGGGCCACTCGCATGTAAATACGCGCAACATTGAATTGCACGATCAATGGAAATGTAATATTACCTAAAGCCGCATAAAGTTTGATCGCTGTCGTGAGTAATTTGTCCGGGAATGTCGAGCCGAGGCGGCGACGCTCGGTCGGCCATGTCGCAAACAACTCCCCTCCTGCGTTAGAGCGAAGTTCGCGACATGCTTGGCGCGCGACGGCTCTGTTGTCGAGTGAGAGAATGCAAGCGTCGATGCAGATGATGTACACTGTGTAATGCCGAGTGAGTGGTGTATCGGCTATCGATCCGCCCGTAAGACAAATATGGAAGACAAATTTTGGTTGCATTTGTGTAGCGTAGTCGGCCCACTCGTTCTAGTTTTTTCATAGCTTCATTCTCTTCTTAGCTTTGGCCTATCTTTAAAAAACATGTTTTCTTTCCCTCCCCTCTCTTCTCTCCTCTCTCTCTCTCTCTCTCTCTCTCTCTCTCTCTCTCTCTCTCTTCTCTCTCTCTCTCTCTCTCTATATATATATATATATATATATATATATATAGGGAAAGTGATTCCTACCCGTGATCATATTAGTGGTTACGCGTGAGTGCCTTATTTTTCGTCTCTCTCTCTTTCTTTCTTTTGCTGTTTATCTTTCTTTCTCTCTCCTTTTTTGTGAAAAGGAAAAAGAGGGGAAGTGAGACAGAGAGGCAAAAACAGAGGAAAAGATCCTAGAGAGAGCGCGACATAGGAGATAAAGGGGGCGAGTGAAATAGGGATGGGGAGAAGCGGAGAGATGCTGCGATAGGAGCCTCGGTTTTTTTTTAGAATAAACCAATTCGTTCGTTCGTTCGATCGCCAGTTTGTCTATTGCCGTCGCTACCACAGGAGATGTGTGGATATGTTCAGGAAGGTGACGTGAAGCCATCTCCCGATAGTAACGGGACAGGACTAGCTGTATCTGAGCGCACACGGCGGTGATGCCAGTCGCTATTGGCGTGTACGTGCGTTTCAGTAACGCAAATCTATAGGATTCGTAAGCGACAACCGGAAGAACTGATGGCACGCACTATTACTGGCTGAGCGCATATGCGCACGCACACGCACGCACGCTGGTTCCCGCCAGCATATGCGCACGCACACATACACACAATCACGCACACGCGCGTGCACGCACGCCCCCACGCGCGCACACACACGCGCGCGTGCAGTTAGATAAACACAGACGCGTGTGCACACACACACACGCACGCACTTCAGTGCCAAGTTCAGTCCTAATAGTGATGATATGCCCAGGCCTCCTGAATTTTTCATACTGTAACATAAGGTAATCTGTGTTTACGCATGCATGCCCACCAACTACGAAAACAATCACTTTTTTTTAAAAAGTATGCTCTCAAAATAGAGAGCGGATACACGTGAGTAATAGGCTACGAAGACCTTATCTACCACACTTATCTACTTTGATAATTATAAGGCATTTATTTTCTCGAATTTTCTCCATGCTGTGGCATAGGGCAGACCTGTGCTCGCGCATGCACTATCTGCCAAATGCAGCAATATTTGACATATAGGGTTCAACTTTTTTCTCATGGTATCTCTCCTTCTATCCCCCCTCGTCTCTCTCTCTCTCTCTCTCTCTCTCTCTCTCTCTCTCTCTCTCTCTCTCTTCTTTATTGCTAAGCGAAATCTAGTTCATTCGAATAAGAGACGTTGAGCAAAAAAGCTAATCTTCGTCTTGTTCCGCACTCATACTCACATACATTGTCGCTCGAAGAAATCGGGCTGAGACGAGTAAATATACGAATGCGACATTGATGATTGCCGCAGCAGCATTATTTTGCCTAATTTGCTATTTAACATTGCCGCCACTCCCGCTACTCACTGATAAAGAGATGCATGCGCTAAATAAATGATTCATTTTGCTTGCGAATACCCTTGCTTGAACTGAACCTGGACGTTGAAAATGTGGGCTAGACACTGTGTACGCGCGCAATTAGTACACATTGAAGTTATGACGATAAGACGCAACAGACAATCGACTAGCAGACAACGTATGAACGACTATAGTGGCTAGATGTGAGATCGTATCGGATGGTCACGCCGAGACACTCGCCGAGATAGAGTCAACCGCAATTTCGATCTCTTCGACCTTTCTCTCTCCCTCTTCCTCTCTCTCTCTCTCTCTCTCTCTCTCTCTCTCTCTCTCTCTCTCTCTCTTTCTCTCTCGCTATCTATCGTTCTCTCTCTCGTGCTCTGCAGAGAAGGGAGGGCAGGAAGCAACGCGCGCTGTCTATCACGGAGAAAGAATGCAAGGATAAAAGAGTGGAAAGAGCAGCGGGCCGCGGCGCGTCGGCGACCAGCAGCCCGGGGACCGGTGCAGAAGAGATCGGGGAACGGAAAAAGATGCCTGACGCGAGGAGAAGCGAAAGGGAAAGAAGGGAGAATGGGAATAGGAAGGAAGCCACGGAAAGAGAACCACGAAGTGAAATAGTATAAGTATATACCTGATGATCATTCGTTGAAAGAGAGCGCAGACGTGAGAGACGAAGGAGAAAAAGAGCAGAGCGCTAAGCGAGAGAGAGAGAAGAAGGTGTGAGCGGGCGAAAGGCGAGGAGAGAGAGAGAGCAGAAAGGAGAAAGACGGGAGAATGGGAAGGACAGCGTCGAAAGAGAAAAAGTAAGAAAATATAACAGCGATCCTGAGGTAGAGACCGGCAGGAAGCAAGCGGGGAACGAGGCCGTAAAGCAGACCAGGGAGAAAGAAAACAGAAGCGCTAACGACGAGAGAGAGAGCGGTGTGCCGGGCGGGCGAAAGCGAGAGAAGAGAGGAGAGAGGAGAGAGACGAGAGAGACAGAGCGCGAAGAGGGGAGAGAGAGAGGAGAACGCGCGCGGACCGGGAAAAGAGGAGAGAGGAGAGAGGGAAAGCGAGAGGATAAGAGAGAGGAGAGAACAGAGAGAGAAGAGAGCAGAGACAGAGGAGGAATGAGAAGATGTTGAAGGATGAATGCACAGCACCGAAAAAGACGAAAGAATAGAGATAATATATATATAGTGAAAGAGAGCGCACGTGAGAGAGACAGGGAGAAAAAAAGAGAGCCTAAGCGAGAGAGAGAGAGAGAGAGCGTGAGCACGAAGGAGCCGAGAAGAGGGGCGAGGAGAGAGAGGAGGAGAGAGGAGAGAGACAAGAGATGGAGAAAAGAGTAGACGGAGAGGAGAGTAAGCAAAGAGAGGAAGAGCGGAGAGAGCGGAGCGACGAAGCCAGGAGCGGCCGCCGGGCGCGCGGGAGCCGCAGCCGAGCAGAGAGAGAGAGAGAGAAAGAGAGAGAGAGAGAGAGAGAGAGGAGAGAGGACGAAAGAGCAGAGGAGAAAGGAGGGCT